TATATATATATATATATATATATATATATATACACACACACATACATATATGTGTATATATATATACCAGGTCACAACCTTGTTCTTTGCCTGATTCTTTCATCTGAAGGTATCTGAACATTTCAACGATTCACTTCATCACAGTCTGGTTTGGCAGCACAGCAAAGGGATTTTAAGGCTTTGTAATGGGGATAACACTTACTGGAGGATTTTTACAAAGCCAGAATACTCAGGAGAGTTAATGACATTGAAGAGGACACTTTCACCCAACTGTACAATGTGTCCATGATGATCCCATGAGGGAGTTGCTGTGATAGCCTAGAAGCCAAAACAACAATGTTTAAAGACAGTTCACTCGCATAAAGGTAAATTGTTTGAGATTAGTGAAAAGCATTTTTATGTGTATTATTTATTTAATGTATGCATTAGTATTGTCATTACCACAGTAGGTTACTTCAGGCATGGTCAAACTCCGGCCCGGGGGCCGGATGCAGCCAATACATTTCTATAATCATTATACTTCTGCCTTTTCGTCTGCCTTCCCTGTAATTCCAGCATTTCTCCAATAGATGGCATATAAAAGGCTTAAAGCATTTTAGCATTTTAGCCTGTATGACTTTTACATGTCATTTGATTTAGTTTATACAAACGGTTCATCTATCTGCTCCTGACCCCCCCCCCCCCCCCCCACCCTCACACACCACACACTCTGGCGTTTCCAGCGACTCATAAAGTTTGCCCACCCCTGGGTTATTGCATTGTCAAAAGAACCATGCCACTTTACCACAAGATTTTGCTACATCTTAAACAGTTGACCTTCAAGCTGTAGTCCTTCAGTCCCTTCAGTGACAAATGGTACACAATGGAGAGGTAAAACAAAAAAATACAATACTGCCCTCAGAGACACAGTACTAACCTCACTCTTCAGAATAAAGTAAAGTAAAGTAAATAAGGGTGCAGAGTGATTGCCTGCTACGACATGGTTGGAAGTGGTGGGCCAAAGCTAGGAGCCCTCGACCAAATGTACGCACATGTGCTGTTAACTGTGTCTCCTGTCTCCGCAAAAAAATTATAAATCTCCACCTAATGAGTCAATAAATCAAGACATTGTGTGTGTGTGTACACTGCACCTAAAACACCCTATTCTACAATCATCACGGTCACATGTAGCTGCAGATATTTTGCTTCATTATGTTTCCAAGCAACAGCAGCTCACAGTAATGACAACAGTCGCTGACATATGTGGTCGAGGCAAACGGGCTTTAGCTCATGTTCCATCGGGGGAATGTGAGTGTGGGCCAATTGGGGTACAGAGGAGTGGGCAATTGGGAGTTTAGCACGGCATGGAGCAACTGGCCCTAGTTTGAGTGTGCCCTAAGTGTTTAGTGTCAGTGAGGAGTAGAAACGACCAATCACAACACATCAGTTGTTTGTCATGCCAGCAGTTTTCCTGCTTTTCTAAAATCTGTATCTTATTGAATTATATTCAAACGACTTCAGTAATCTCAACAACACTGAGCTGTTTTCTCTTTCCAGCTATTCTTTTTTATTTCAGGACTCGTGTCTCAGAAAGATTTGTCCATGTTCATGAAGAATCTTTGGAAACCACCTTGCATGTTCTGGATCTGAACTTTGAAACACAATGTGTCGTAGAGTGGCCTGACATTGTTTGAAGTGATGATAAAGTTGTGTGGCTTGTCCCAAATTGTTGCCCTCAGAGAAAGAGAGGGAGAATGCTAGCAACATTTGAGAGTCTGGCCTCCTGATTTAAAAGCAGTCAATCCTTTCAATCAGATGGTGAGATCCAGAGGAGGAAGTGTGGCATTGACTCTCTCACAGTTTGCTCGATGGTGGTGTCCCGTCAACGTTTCATTTTTAAACCCGGTGCCCTCGGCCAACATTGCACTCTCTGCCACATAGTCACCCAGAGGATGGTGTGTGTGTGTGTGTGTATGTCGGTGACAGAGCATGACCAAATCAAGTGTCATTGTAGGAGAGCTGGTATTGAATTTCAATGCATCATCGTTTTCTCTTTTATTCCTGATCATATCCAGTGAGTAAGCATTGTAGGCTCCAGACGAGCGTGAAGGTCTCGTTTCCTCTCACTTATAGCATTTCCTCATCATCCCTGCACACTTAGCTGGAGGGCTGTTCACAGACAGCTCACTCATGATGAAATGAATGGTGATTATTACATCATTACTGCAAAGATATTCATACATGTCAGCAAGGCCAGAACTTGACTCTGCCAACAATGGGGGGGGGGGGCATGGATTTTAGAGGCATACTCTAATCAGGTTATGAAATCCACAGTACTATACACTATGTAGGTGAATGTGTATGTGGTATTAAGACACAACATGACAGGGCAGCGGTGACTGAGTGTAGAGTAGAGTTGTGTCGGGAAAGACATTCAGCAGAATCACTGTACTGCCTACTGGAGTGATCCAATTCTAGCCCGTTAAAATGCCACACCAGATAGGACTATTCTTTCAGAATACAAAGGGAAAGAAACATATATATATATATATAACTAAAATGTTCACATTCCCTGGCTCTTATGCACAATGTCACAATGATGACAAAGATGTCTTGTCCCACTTTAAACTGTAAAAAAAATGTAAGATGACTTGTCCCACTTTAAACTGTAAAAAAAAAAATCCAGAGATACTTTAGCATAAAATTCCAGAAGATGTGAATTCTCTTCCTAAAGGAAATTCTGTCAAAGCTTGGTGCAGTCTAACTACACTGCTCACACTTTCCTTGCTCTGACTGTTGGTTTGACAGTGATTTTATATCATGACAGATTAACTATGGGGACACTTTTATAGTGCACCACTGAAAAGTGTCCTGCTTAGACAGGATTCCATCCCTTGATGGAGAATGATGTAGAAATAAAATATTTTTAATCATAGTGAAAATTCATATAAATATATATAATAACACCTTTCAAGCACAACATTAACTAATGTTGTGCTTGAAAGGTGTTATTATATATATTTAAATCATTTTACGGTTAGTTTTAGTGATACTGAAGCTTAGAGGATAAACAGTTTTTGTGTGTGAATGCCTCAACTTCTCAATACTGGCATTAAATAATTGATATCCCACAGCACACCAGTATCCTGCTGTGTTCAATTGTACGTATAGGGATGTTTGTGGCAACAGGCTTAATATGGAACAGCCCCACCTAGAATATTTTTTCACCAGCCGCCACTGCATGTTTGCTTTTGTGAAACCAAACAACAGTGGTGCACACATCAAAATTCATCTGTTCCTCAAATTTTAAATTTTAATGTATACACTACCTTCTGTCTGAAAGTGTCTACCTACTTCATACACTGTATATATCCTGGTCATTTGTGTGTCTGTGTGTGTAGTAGAAAGCTCCATGATCCTCCAAAAAGATGAACCTTTGCAGGGGCATCTTTTTAATCTTCTCCATGTGGCCTGTACCAGCACCAGAAATGTGACAGCCACACAGAGCGCCTTTGTTCTAGTCAGAGGTTTGGTCTGAATAGCTGTCTCCTAAGCCCATCACATGCTGTGCTCACTGGAGGTACACCATAAAAATATAATGTACAATCATTTCTCATTCTTAACACCATCTATCTTGTCAATTTTGTGCATCAAAGCATGCAGACTTAAAAAAAAATAACATCTTCAAAAATAAACTTATACAGCAGTTAGCAGTGATCATCACTGAATGTGATTTGTGTTGTTTTTGCTTAAAATAAGTCCTGGGCAACAATTAAATTGTTATGCAGAAAACTGTGTGCAATTATATTGTAATGGTACTGCTTGTGCTAGCGGTCAGAGTCACTAATGATAGGTTGGACTCTTCGCTGGCATGAGTGTTAATGCAGCTCACGCCCTCGAGCTAAAAGGAAGGGGATTGTGATCTGAGAAAGACATTTTGTTTAGTCGTGTCCCAAGGAATTAATCATTTTATTTTGTGTGTTATGGAAAAAAAACCTTTAGTGTCCAGAGCCACCAGCATAACAGTATGATGGGTACATTCAGACCAACCTGTTTGCAGATGTACATTATATTTCAGTTACTCTTAAAACGCCACATCCGTTTTCTACTGTTAGCCTGACTCTTTAGCATACCCAACAGAACGTCATACAATCTGTTACTGGACTGCAGCTGTGACGTGTGATGACAAACTACAAAAGACCTCAGATGCATCTCCAAGCTGCTTGTGTTAGGGTGGTATTTTTTATTAATGTTTCTCAAGGAGACCCCCTCCAGGTACTCTTCATCATATGTAGACATCTTTCTGCCTGCCACCAAGTTTCTATTTGTCCATTTTTTTAAAAAAAGCTTCTCTCCCTTTTGCCTTCAGACGGCCCTTGGACACCAGTTCTCTGATAACAGATATTTTGGAAACATTTTTTGGTTCAAAATCAATCTTTTTTTTTTTTTTTTTTGCAAGATAAGAAGAGTACTGTGACATACAGTGAATTTACTAAGATGGACAACACTAGTACTTTTGTAAATGACCACGACTACACTCTTGTTTGCAATAATGTAATAACATACATTACAAGTGCATTGTTATCATTTAAACAAACATTGAAGCACAAAGGCAAAAATCGGGTGTAGATAGAAAGTGTTTTTAAAAACTTTCCTCACCATTTTTATTCTACATACAATGGTCTTCCTTAACACGTCTCTCAAAACATCCATTATTTGTGTCAAGTGTTAAACTCCTTGTTATTGAAGGAAGCTTGTTAGATTGCCCATCATCATTAATAATTTTCTCATGTTAAACAAATGCCTTAATTATTGAATAGTGAATAACAGTAAGAAAATACATTCAAAGAATTGATGTTTCTGTACATATTTTGTAGCATTGTATGTGGGTTTGCAA